AACATCTAATCTAAAGCCCTCTTTCAGTTTAAAGCCATTCCCCTCCTTTTTCTATGGCTACATGCCCTTGCGAAAAGTCCCTCTCCAGCTTTCCTATAGGCCCCTTTTAGTCACTGAAAGGCCACCATAAAGGTCACCCTGGAGCCTTCTCTTCTCCGGGATGAACAACCCCAGCTCTCTCAGCCTTTCCTCACAGGAGAGGTGCTCCAGCCCTCTGATCATTTTCACAGCCCTCCTCTGGACCTGCTCCAACAGTTCCATGCCTTTCTTGTACTGGGGGCTTCAGAGCTGGGTGCAGCACTCCAGGTGGGTCTCACCAGAGCAGAGCAGAGGGGCAGAATCACCTCCCCTCGACCTGCTGGACACATTGCTTTTGACGCAGCCCAGGGTGTCGTTGGCTTTCTGGGCTGTGAGTGCACATTGCTGGGTCATGTCCAGCTTTTCATCTACCAGTTCTGCTAAGTCCTTCTCAGGGCTGCTTTCAATTCCTTCACCCCACAGCTTGTATCAGTACCAGGGGTTGCCCTGGGTTAGCACCTTGCCCTTGGCCTTGTTGAACCTCATGAGGTTCCCCAGGGCCCACTTCTCGAGCTTGTTCAGGTCCATCTCAGGCAAACCGGGTGCTTTTTCAAAGCAAAGACACAGATAGTGACACTAACATGTACCACGGATCAGAGAAAAGGGCTTTTGCACCATAGAAAAATTAAGCTGGATCATTTAAATCACAGAAGTCAGCAGTGAAAGAGAAGGATTGCCTTCTACATGGATTTGTGCAGACACTGAACTAAGCATGTGTCCCTTTTCTGGATCCTGCTGAGCCACTTCTCCCCAGAGCTGCACCTCTTTTAGAGCAGCCACCACACTTCATCTCTGCCCATAGTAGAGGCTGGTTGAAGGCCTGAGGCATCTCCTTTGACTGATTCAGCATGACCAGGTGGAATCATGGCCCAATACCCCCAGGAACTGACCATAAATGGAGACCAAAAAGCTCCATCAAAACAAGCACGTGTTTGTTATACAATGAGAGAAGTTTCATTTTCTAGGTGAAACAAAACCCAGGAAAGTGCACTCCCACATGCTTTGCTAGCTCAGCATACATTTGCTCACCTTAGGTGAGGAAGCTCCAGCTGCCTCTGTTCCACCAATCTCAACTGGAAAAAGCAACGTACACACACACTCAGGGTCTCCTTCGCAGAAGGGCACACACGCTTCTTTTCAAGCCACTGTTTGCTTCCACTGATGCACATCAGCTCCTCACTTCACCTCTCCAAAAACTCTTTGATTTTTGCAGTCATACAGGCAGCAATCATGCAATGTCCACAACTCCTCATTTCCCTGGTCTGCCGTAATCTATCCAGAGATACAGTCAAGCACAGAGAATTTTGAAACCCTGGTAGGTCCTGTCATTAACTGCCAGGAAGAAGAGCATTTCTAAAAATGAGGATACACTTCACCTACTGTTGAAGTACCTGATGATGATGGAAATTAAGTGAGTCCAGCAATGAGTTGTTCCTCTACCACAAAGCACATGGAGGCTAAAATTAAAAAGCGGTCAAAATAACCAGGTGTGGTCCCACAGAAATGCCTGGATCCCACCACTGACTATGCACAGCACCACAAGCCCAGGTACACACTTCCAGAGTAAGTGGTGCAACAACAGCCATGGGGTGACCTCAGACTGGCTCTGTTGCTGCAGTCAGGCTGGTACCTGAGCACAAGTAGAAACTCACACATCCTTAACAGAGAAATGGCTACGGATGTCCTTTAGCATCTCCCTTGTTCCTTGTCAGTGCTGACTTCCAGCATAGGGAGCACAGCAATTCACCTGGAGCACTTCACTGCTAAGCAAGAGAAAAATCAGATTTAAGGCAGCTCTGCATCCTTTGAATACAGCACCTATAGACAACATTCCTAAATCTCTGGCTGTGCTGGTGTCTGAAGATACACTTAATGCCTGAAACAACCTTCATCCCAACTGCTCCAGCTTACACCTCACAAGAGCCTACCAGCACAGCATATAGATGTCTGAGATCACCAGAAAAATCACTCAATAATTTCTCACTAGCATATCTTCAAAACTGTTGTGGTGACTTGAGCACAGTGGCATAGATAGGAAAAAACTCCAAACAAACGAACAAAAAAACCCAACAAAACCCCAATCCAGTAATCATAGTTTTTAGTCAGATTTTTCACCTGTTTATTCTATTGGCTTTAGACTCACTATTTTCAATACCTACAATCAGTTATGAAAACACTTCATTCAAGATAAAACGCTACTGAGCATCTCCACAGACAGTAGCCAGGTGATAATTTTAGAACAAAACCATATATGCATGGATCCACTTCTTTGCACAAAGGGAGTTCACATTCCTCTATGCACACAGGAAGAAACCTAGAGCCATTTCTAAAAGCTGCTCAGATTAGCCTTGCTGCTGTCAATTCCCACAGCAAGGGGGGGAAACCCAGCAGAAAGTGGTCTAGATTTTCAAGGACTCGCTCTGTCACCCCCAGAATTACAGCTGCACCCCAAGCAGAGCAGCATACTGACCCTGCAAAGCCACTCCAGAGAGCAAATCCTACCGTGTGGCTGCCTCAGTCCCGTCTCCCAAAAGACACCACCAGCCACAAGGTTTAGTAACACTTAAAATAGCCCAGCCAGCTCACAGCAGTCCATATAGACAGTTCTATTTCAAGCACATCCAACATACTGTTAGAGATAGCACAGGAACAACCCGCTTTCTTCACTAATGCTTGACATTTATCTGATGCTTTGACTATTTATGCTAAGGCAGTGTGAAACTGCAAGCTTGCACATTCAGCAGCTTGGACAGTCACAGTGCAATTCCAGCACCAGTAAACTAGACGGTGCTAGAACAGCCCCTGAGCTCGTTAACTGAGACTGATCTGGAAGCTCATGTTAGCCACGGGAATCCCGGACCATGCTACTCAGGCAGAAATTTATTTCAATGTCCCTCCCTGCAGACAGCCTCACCACCTCCTTATTTCTGACCAAATATTTTGCCCACTGCTGACTTACTTTTGGCCAAAGCCCAGGTGAGATTCTGCACCTACTGAGCTGACTTCTCTTCTTTACCTTGCCTTCCAAAACCCACCGCTGCTTCTCTATGGAGCACGCCTAAACACCGGAGATATTGCTTGACCCCCTCTCCCCCAGGAATTTGTCTCAGCATGTCAAGCCGTTTCTGCCATGCCAAGGGCAGCCCTTGGGAAGAACCAGGCTCAGGAAAGCTGAGCTAACAGCTAGTGTGGCGTTTTTTGCTTTATGCAGGACCGCACTCGTTTCCTCTCCTCCTCTGCACCTGCTGTTCCATCGACACGAATCCCCAGGCAGTGTTCCGCTAGGCTTGGACACACACATGGCAGGCTCACAGGTGCCAGCCTTCCCTCTGCCTGGTGCACAGGGCTGGGGAGGACCAGGCACACAGCCCCACACCTGCCAACATGGCCAAGACTGGGTGAAAGCGTAAACGGGCTGAAACCAGATGAGCCCATAGAGATGGAGAGAGAAGGCACGGTGGAGGTTATGCCAGGGTGAGAAGCAGAAGGGCAGCCTCCCTGACACGCCAGGGGAGGAGAGGGATGGGTAAGGTCACAGAATCCTTTAAGGTTGGAGAGGACCACCAAGATCACTGAGTCCAGCCATTAAGTCAACACCACCAGACCCACCACTAAGCCATGTCCTGAAAATGCCACATCTATGTGGTTTTTGAACACGTAGAGATGGTGATTCAACTACTTCCCTGGGTAGCCTGTTCCAGTGCCTGGCCTTTTCCATGAAGAATTTTTTAAAATATCCAATCTAAGCCTTCCTTGGTGCAGCTTGAAGCCATTTCCTCTTGACCTGTCACTTGTTACCTGGGAGAAGAGACCGTCCCTCACCTGGCTACAACCTCCTTTCAGGGAGTTGTACAGATTGAGAAGGTCTCCCCTGAGCCTCCTTTTCTCCAGGCTGAACGCCCCCAGCTCCCTCAGCCGCTCCTCATAGGACTTACT